ATGTTGGGAGAGAATGTTTTTCATCCCCACTTGTTGCATGACTTGTACTATTGCTGAATTTGGCAGAGGAATGAGGAATGTTTCAGTCAGTACCCTATGTCTCTAGGACCTTATATGCTCAAAAATTGTGCTTTCAATCACTTGTGGTAATGTAAGCGAAAGGAGACTCATTTTAAGAAATGTATTATTAGTTCATACTAACATATAAAAGAGAAGGTTTTTTTATAGGGCTTCCCTCAAACTTAAACATGATAAATTAATCATTTCTCTATTCTGAAAATTAAGGTACATGGTGTAGGAGATGCTGTTGGTGACCCGTGCACATCTCTTCAGCACTCATCTGACCCTCATATTTGGGGAAAGGTTTTTCTATACGTGTAAACACATCACAGGCATTCGCAGCTGTTCGTCACTTTAGCTCCCATATTTTTATTTCAAGTGTGAAGTTAGTTGGGAACCTGTTTGTATTTCTACTTTGTCTCCTTCACCTCTAAGTGTCTGGCTGCAGCGAAACTTTCTCTCCCTTCCCTTGTTTCTCATTACAGGTGAAGCCCGGTGACTCACTTCATAAACACAACTACCTTTGCGGGGTGCCGCTCAAGTTGCAGCTTCTCGGTGACTTCCGAGTTCCTCTCCAGTGGCTGGGCCTTGACCGGCTATGGAACTCTTTGAGGAAGGTCCAGTGGCATTTAATAAGGCCCCTTTTCTTGTCCCTGTTGTTAGAGTTAAACAAAAATTCGTGAATCTTAGTAAATATTTTCCTCAACCCATTCCCATAAGCTTTGCATTTTTTTTACAAACTCCTAGAATTCTGAGTTTCTAGGGGCACATTGTTCTGATGTTACCATTGAATATTCAAAAATTTATTTTTGCCCATTTCACAGATGCTTTGAGAGAAATGATATTTTCAGTTGGTCTTCAGGCATCGTATTAAAAATACTTTCATAGTAAAATTTTACATAATTTCACTCACAACCAATAAATATACAGTGATAAGGTTTTTTTTATTAGTACATGTTTGCAGAACCTATTGATTACATTTGTTGTGGCAAGTTGGGGCATGAACATAATAAATACATCTTTATTCTTTTTTTTTCTTTGTCCCCTGTCTCTTCCCTCCATGAACTTTCCAACTCTTGGTCCTTTTCCCATTTGCAAAAGCTCTAGTTACATTTTTTTCAATTTTTTCCATCTTTTTCCCTCCCTCCTCTTTTCCCTCCTTCCATCCTTTGTTTCTTTTTTAACATAAACAAACATATGAACACAGCAGATAGATCAGTCCTTTACCTCTTTGTACAGACATATTAATATATTGAAAATTTAATTTTTAAGGACCTCACATCTCCAATGAATCAAGGATTCTTTCATTTAATCAGTAGATTAAGAGATTTTTGTATTGACCCTCAGGAGGTTTGCTATCCTTAATTTAAATAATTAGTATGAATAACATGTGGAAAAACATTATTTGCAGTGATCTAAAGGAACTTTCAGTTAATTATTGAAAAGTTAGTTAATATAAATGCATAAATACTTACAAATATAAATTGAACAATACTAATTCCTTGGAACTATTTTATCATTATACTTTTTTAGTGAGATTTGAACCCAGGTCTTTTCGTCAAGTACAGTACTCTACCACTGAGTTACAATTCCAGCCTTCCTTGGAAGTATATAAAAGTGCATGAGTTACATAAATATTCCTGAAGTACCTGATCCATCAAACATTCAATACAATCAAAATCCCTCAGAATACCAAGAAATACTTGGTAGGCATGAAGCTAGTACTATTCATTCAGTTGATATGAAGTTGTTTTATTATTTTTTTTATCCTGCTAAAAGGACTTTGAAATATGGACAGGTAAAAGAATATTTATGCTCCAGAATTTCCAGGCAAAGGGCTGCAAGAGCTTAATGTTTTTTCTAAACATTAACATTCCAACATATTTTCAGAATAAGCCAAAAGCTCACGGCTTAATGTCAGAGTGGGTTAATGTGCATCCTGATGGGAGTTGTGTTCCAAGGCAGGAACTAGAAAAAGTGAGCATCTTATGGAGAAAAAATGCATTCCTATGTGCTTGTGGGAATTAGCCCGTCAAAAATGGCTGAATGAAATAGGTTCAAAGCTTTTTTTTTTTACCATGGCAACCAGATGACCTCTTCTAGTCCCACTAGCTAGATAACAGGACTGCATCTTTTTGCAGTGCCATAACCCAGGAGATTACAATGGTGGTCCATGCATACAGAAGTACCAACTTTCAAAACAAAAAAGGCATTATGAAAAATAACTCACACTGGGAATTTGGGCAGTTAAATAAAGTAATGATTTTGAAATTAGACAATGAGTGTTTTCCAAAGAGGAAAATATTTGTTTTAATTTTATAACCCACATAATAGTAATATAATTT